ATATATATATATATATATATATATATATATATATATATATATATATATATATATATATATATATATATATATATATATATATATATATATATATATATATATATATATATATATATATATATATATATATATATTATACCACTTAAATATAATCTGAAAAAGTTACCTTGATGTGGAAATGGTTTAGAGAATAAGCGGATGAATTTTTTGATTAAAGAATAGAAGTAAATTGTTACAGGATCATTTTGTTCCCATACTACAAAATTATTGCATTGATATCCGTCATTGTCATCCGGAATATTTGTCATCAATTTTTCCATTAGAAATAAACTATAACACTCATCACTTCCTTTAATTTTTATCTGAAAAAAAAAAACAAAATTCGAAAAAAAGAAAATTATAGCAAAAATTATTTTATCAACAACATTCTTCCAATTTTCATACATTCATTACCAAAATTAAACTTTATTTATATTTGATAAATTATGAACGAATTTCAATTGAAACGAAAAATTGGAACATATCAGAATTGGTGTGATTTTACATGGAACTAAATATGCATTTCATGTAAGTATGTTAAAATTGTGAATATTCAAGAGTGATAAGGTGATAAATGCAAAATGGAATGATGAAATGAAAAGGAAGATTTGATATTGATTGTGGAAATTTTACATATTTTAGTATCAACAACAAACAGGTAGTTTAAATTAAATGATTAATGAATGAAGTGCGATTATTGAATGTTGGATAATTGAAAAAGCTTTTCAGAAAACATTTGCTTGATTAGATGAATTACGGAAAATGGAAAACATAAAGATTATGTGTGTGTATGTTTGTGTGTGTGTGTGTGTGTATGTGTGTGTGTGTGTATGTGTGTGTGTGTGTCAGCAAATATTTTGTGATGTCTTATTATAAGACTTGAGGTAATGAAGATAACACATTCAATAGACTGTTAATGGTAATTACATTAAAGTCACATTGAATTATTCATTGGTTGCAAAAATGACCCAATAGGAAGAGGAAGAGGTAGGAATGTAAGAGAAGGAAAATGAGGTTGATCGAATTAGGTTAACATACAAGACAGCAAATTCAACATAACATTGATCGAAGTACCGTTTCAATCTTATGTCCTCATATACTTTCATGGCCATTTCCTCCTCATCATTTCCTTGTTTTAAATTTTTTTTTCTTTTTAAATTGGAAATTATGTATTTACAATTTGTCTGTGCAAATTTTTCATTCTCTCAAATTTGCAAATTAATTTTCTTTTTTTCTTTCCTTTTTTTCTTTGCAAAATTTAATTGTCATT